GATAGGAGGTCTTAGCGAAAAAATGATTGAGGAATCCATTTTGCCAATTTACCTAATCTTATTGTTTCATTCTGTAGTCTTATCTCTTGTTGTTTAAATGCAAACAAAGAGCTTGTGGCAGGAATCTTTTCATAACCCATTTAGACACCAGTTTCTTTAAATTGAATCACCTGCCGAAACAATCAACACAATTAAAAAAAATGTCTTCAAGCTCAATCATTAGACTCCCACTATGTGCCATTCTCCTGCCAAACAGAGACCTCTCTTTCCAATCAGTCCAAAACCACAGAAAACTGTTCGAAAAGAAGTATCTCTCAGAGCCACCTGTTGATGTTTCGTACAATGAAGCTCTCGAAGTCAATAGTACCAACGATACATTATCATTGATACATGAGGAAAACCAAACAACACATACCATTACTGAGGACAATGATGACAACACGAGTAATATCCTTGAAGATGATATTGATACTGCTTCTGAAGGAATATTCCTTGATAATGTCCAATCTCCAACCACGACCACGACGGCTCCTCAACAAGCAAACTCTTGTTCTGATGAAGATAGTGTCAGCAGTCAACATTCTATTGCAATCCCTATTAGATCACTTAGTCCATCCAATATATCCTCACCTTCGTCCCCAGTTTCCATTTCACAACTTTCTTCTTCTCCAACAACTCCAAATTCCTTCCTGTCGAGAAAGAATTCTTCTAATGGTGTGAAATCTTCGAATACTTCTAATGAAGAACTGTTATCTAATTTGGAAGTGTTAAGAAATAGATATTTAGAATATCTTGTCGAGAATAATGCATTCAAGATTCCCAACGTGTGTGGAAGGTATGAAATGATGCTCACATTCATGGATTATGTATTTGATCCAATTAATAGGAAACCATCTTTGAAAATTAAGGATTTTAACGAGTTGTTGCGAGTGATGGATGCATTCTGTCATTCTAGTTTGTGGTTGATGGGAAATGAAGAAGAAATTGAATGGATTAAGAGCGAAGGAGAGTCAAATAAGATAACGTCAAGCACCAAGTCATTGTCAATAGATACTGATTTACCATTTCTTGAATATTTTGTAACTAAGATTATACCAATGAGAAATCAAGGTAGAGCTTATAGATGGTTTCATCATGTAAGATTGGGTCAATTCTTGGAAAAGATTTACAAAATTCACAAAACTGGCCAATCATTCATTTTCA